GGGTTTTGGGGTTTGGGAGTTTTGGGGTTTTGGGTTTAGGGTTTGGGGGTTCGAGGGGTTGCTGGCACACAAGTCCGTCACGCCAGAGGGGCACGCAACCAATTACATAAACTCATCACATGATTGAATCCAGCAGCTGCACAACCGACCCTGGCCCATTTAGGGTTTACCTTAAGAACCCAAAACCTACTTTTTTGTAGGGTCCCTATAAATCCCATATTAGGGTTTGTAATACGAACCTACAAAAAAGTGGGTTTTGGGTTCTTACGGTAGGGGAGCGACGAACTGAATCAGGCGGCGAGGTCCTGGCGGTGAAGCTGGTGCTCTCGTGTTGCGGGAAGCTGCAGGGCGACCTGGCTCAGCATACGGCTGCACTTCCAGCATGAGCAACCCGCAATTCACAGCCCATCGCAACTGCCGACATTCAATTACATGTTCTGACGTGGACCCGACCATCTCAAAACCCAAGAAGACATGCTCTCTGCGTTAGCATAGGGCTGGCTCTACAGCCAGACTGGACAGCTACAAGCTTTTGGCTCGTAAAGCCACGCCACCCAAGATCCAGAGGGAACTGATCCAGCGTCACCGGTGACTGGACCAATTCGTTTACCTGGGGCAGGCCGTAGGTTTTGTGGGATGTGGCCAGAACAGCAAAGAGCTTAGACTAGTGACTAACCGTTCCCTGTTGATCTCGAGGCATCTACAGGTCGTATGGAGGGTAATGCTCAAGAAGTGGCTCCTGAGTCACTCCTCCAGGAATTCTGCTGTAGGGAAACAGGGGAACAAATATGTGGACTTACTTAATTAACCACTCACTCAAGAACCTCGGAGGCTGGAGGAAGAAACCAAGCATCCGCCCGGAACGATAGGACGAGATCAGCAGAAGCCAGTTTTGTCATGTCATTACATACCCGTATTGAAGTGTCACAAGGAGCTGGTTAGAAGGCTCGGGACATCTGAAGGGTCGCCAAACCTGGTTGCGGCCAAGCTGCCAAGTGGTAGGTGAAGCCAACGGGAGGCGGGCCTTCCATCGTGGAGAAATTCACGACCATATGCCAGAGCATACTGGGGTCAAAAGGTAAAGGCAAATCCTGGGATCTTGATGCTTGTGTCCGAAAGATGCTCGAGTAACGATGCTGCAAGGACTGTTGGCTGCCTCTCCTCAGGGAAAATCCAGCTCTGTGCGAGTGCTAGATCGTGAAGGCTAGAAGCTGCGAAGCCTACAAGTACAAGCATGCTTCAAGCTTTGGTGTCGTTTGTGGCTTCCGGCACAAGGCCTTCCGTCAGTCAGTTTGACAGTCAACCCGATACTCGCATTGCCTTATGACTTATGCGCACGTCAAGCTTCAACGAGCAAACGACGAAGGAGCGAAACATGGCAAAAAAAAACAGAACGAAAGGAATCCTGCAACCGGAATTTAACGCGTTTTTGGGATAGCAGGTAAAGACAGCACACCGCATACTTCTTACATGGAGTTCTCAGTCTAGGCGGTAGGGATTGCAAGCAATTTACGCCCAGGGCTTCTCCGGCTTGGCGTTATCGGCTCAGGTTCGCATGCTCGGGTTGCACTCTGCTGACACCCTGACGTCCCCGCAGGCCTGCAGCCATGAATGCAAAGTGCAGCAGCCGGCGCGGCACAGCAGACGTGTTCTCGGCGCCCCTATGGTACGCATGGCCGGCCTTGCCACGAGAACTGACTTGGGCATTAATCACCACCGCCACCAACACCAAAACTACCATGTGGGGTTCCCGCTGATTGGTCTGGCCAAGTGGGTTTTGCCTTTGGATCTAGATTCTTGCCCTCTCTCTCTCTCTCTCTCACGGACTCAGTCACCTGATTCTTACCGGCTATAGGGGTAAACTGGAAACACTTCTACCATCTTCGAACATGCTCAGGGCACAGCAAGCGCACTCCAAACGCAATTCTTTGCACGGGAGTTCTGGCACTGAAATCCAGCAGCCCAGCCTTGAACCCCAGCCCTAAGCCGTGGAGTCTTCAGCAGAGCAGCCATAACCGCCAATGCCCCCGCTTCCAGCGTCAACGATTCCCTGCCATCGGTGGAAGGCATGGGGCGTGCACTTGAACGTTTAGGGGCTTTGCTCTGTAAGGTGTTCAACCACCTCGCTGACAAAGCACGCTTTGCTTTCGATTGCGTGCGAGAGAGAAAGCCAAGGCTTTGGGCCTTCACTGCTTGAGCTTGCCTGAAAGGGGAAAGCATTGCATGCTCTGACGAAGTCCTTAGCCTAAAAGCCCAGCAACTCAAGCCCTTGGCCCTGAAAATCCGAAAAGGACCCCTACAAACCCTCTCAGCCTAGACGAGACTCTGACTAGACTTTGCAACCCTAAACCCTAAACCCTGCTTAACAAAAACCCTGTAAGCCTAGACTCTGAGCCCTACCTTAAGAACCCCAAACCCACCTTTTTTGTAGGTTCTTACCCTAATATGGGATTTATAGGGACCTTACAAAAAAGTAGGTTTTGGGTTCTTAAGGTAGACCCGAGAACCGCCGAAGCGGCGCCTCTCGAGCTCATCCGGGTCCGGCTTGGCCTGGTCTGCAGTGACTTCTTTTTTTGTTGCTTAGGGTGTAGGGTTTCTTTTTAAGTTGTGATGGCGCACCTTTGTTGTACCCGGGTGTAGGGTTTAGGGCTTGGGGTTTAGGATGTAGATGGATGTAGACTGTTGAGATCAGAACATGGGGTGCGGGTCTAAGGGCATTGATTCGGCATTGATCCCTCAAAAATGAATGCACTCCACTAGAGCATTACACCTTACACCACACACCCGAAACGCTAGACTCACCACCCGAGCCCCACACCCTGAATACAAGACTAAACTCTACACTGCACCCAGTGCACACCTTTTTATAGCCAATCCGTTGTTTGGTAGTGTTTGGGACTTGCCGCTTGAGCTGCACAAGATGCCTAAGCTCTGCGGTGGCCCTAGCCCAACAAACATGGATGCAGAACAGCTCCGTTTCAGAGGGGAGTGACCCTGCTGGACCCTCTCCAGCTTTCTGTGCGAGTTTCGGGCTCGCAACTGTCAAATCCCAAACCTGACAACACTTTAAACAAGAGCTAAAACCTTTAGCGTTTGGCGCTAAATCAGTAAACCCAAGTTCGTCCCCGTGCCCAGCCTGAATTCTACATCCGGCAAACCGATGACAAACAAACAGTTTAGCACCGGGTCTCTGGGATGTCGAGTTCAATGCTTCGGCTTTACTTTGAGGTGTTCCTGCGATTGAGGGTGTATACCCTTTGGGGTTCAGGTTCTCGCTAGTAGGCTCCAGAGCTTAGGGTTGAAATCTTAGGATTCAACCGGGCCGGCAAGCTCCATCGAGAACTCCATGCCTCCTGCCACGAGCGGTGGAAGCCGCGCGTGTGGGAGCCCACCAGCACCTGTTTTAGGATCTTTCAGGAGCTTTGAACCCTCGACGCGAAACTCCAAACCCTGGAGTTGCCATGAAGAGCTTGATCTTTGGAAGCAAAAACCGTTCCAAACCCTAAACCCTCAACCCTAACACCCTAAGCCAATAAAATTGAAGCACCGAGGCCCCCAATCTTTCCATCGAAAGACACCTGCAAGCCCTCCTCCAAGTTGGCAGTTGGGACCCTTCCCGATACACTCGAGGGACTGTTGAGGCTTCGAGATATACAAAAAGGTTCGAGGGGTTTGTGGAGGGTTTAGGGTTTAGGGTGTAGGGTTGTAGAAGGGTTCGAGGGGTTTAGGGGAGCAATCTGCGGCCTAGGGGCGGAATATAGGGGCCTTGGTAGTTAGAACAGGGCTCTGGCTGCCAGACATTTTATTCACAGAGGAAGTGTCTTGCTAATTATCATACCAAGACCCGATACCCTAAACCACAAATCCTAGACGCTCAACCCTAAACAGCCCTATGGAAACCCTTACAAAAAAAAACTGAGAGGTAGTGGGGCCCGAAGGCTGCGACCTTCTGGGCTGGGCGGGCCGAATTCCGGAGAAGAAGACGCCAAAGCCCCAACTCGGGCTGAACCTCTCTGCACCACAAGCGGTTTCTTTCCCCTCTCGCATGGCAGAGAACTATGCTCACAGGCGAGGTTGTAAAAGGAAAGCTTGAACGCACCTAATTACAGTATCAAGGCACAGCTCAGATGGCTCAGTAACGAGATTTCATCGTCAATTAACCACAAGCGGTTTAGGGTTTAGGGTTTCGATTTAGGGTTTCGGCTCTTACACTCCGATTTAGGGTTTAGGGTTTAGGATTTAAGGCTCAGAACTCCGAAAAGCTAGATCCTAAGCCCACCACCCTGACATCCTCCCGTAAACTCCCAAACCCTCTCCGCCTGGGTCGGCCCATGTGTCTCTGAGATATCCTGGAGCGCGACGAAGGCCTTGCAGGCTTTCTGGCCCCTGGACTTCTCTGATTCAAGTTTGGCGCTTAGGATTTAGGGTTTAGGGTGTAGGGTGTAGGGTTTAGGGTTTAGGGTTGAGAGTTTAGGGTGTAGGGTTTAGGGTTTAGGGTATCGGCTTGTCTTGTAGTGGCGCTTAGGGAAACTGTGGAGGGCTCCTGTAGGATGTCAGCGCGGTCTCCGTCGTCGAAGTCCACGTCCGAATGCCAAGGCTGTGGGGGAGCACCTCCAGACTTTGCTTGTTTTCTGTAATCACCGGGACTGAACAGGAAGGGCATGGAATGAGGGAGCCCGACAGAAGGTATGACGGTCCAGGGTTTAGCGTGCTGGCGGGATTAGATCGAGGTGTGTGAACGTTCGGTTCTGTGGTGTCCAAACTGTTGTCGAAACTGAAGAAGCGGTCCTCCGACTTCAACCATGTGGGCTGTCCAGTTTACCCCTCCCGCGCTAGAATGCTCTTTGTTTGCGACGGCTGGAAAAGAGATGCTGCCAAGAGGGGATGGTCTTGCTCGTGTCAGCTGCATGCGACTTCCATTCCAGCTCGGATAAACAGATGCCTCAAACCCGCAAAGTCTTTAAACCGACCTGGGAAAGCGACGATAGCGCCGAGTTCGATAAGCTTCGCGGTGTCCCCGACAAATGCCTCATCCAACTCACACGAGGCGTGACTGCATCCAATCCTCGACCTCTACCTACACAAGATATTTAGGGTTTAGGGTTGCAAAGCTCCAAAGCTACCGGACCAACCAACCCTGATCCTCCAGACTACAGGCTATATAGATCATAGAGTTTATAGACCGGCACAACAAGAAACGACGGATAGAAAGAGCCCCTGTGGGGTTGAAGGTTCACAGTTTAGGAGTTTAGGATGCTAGATTTTTGTTGGAGGTTGAGGGTTTCGGATTTAGGGTGGCTTCCCCACGCCTCAGATGCAGCTGAAGGGCTCGGAACAGCCAGCCGTACTCTTGGATCACGGAGTTCAGAAGCTGCACTACGGCAGCAGTCAGGGGCAGCTTCACGTCATGTCGGAAGCGCGCTTCGTGAATGGGTGCTAGCCACTCAGTGGCCTCAGCTGGCAAGGTACGTTAGGTTTCGAAACTTCTAAGAGGGTAATCACAATGGTGTTGACGGCGATGGTGCAAGTCATGCTGATTGGCCTGTTGTTGCAGCCGCCGTCGTGACTGTCTTCGTCTAAATCATCGAGTATTATCGAGGAGTAGCAGCAGTGGCAGCACGAGCAGTAGCACTTGCAAAACTTGCAACCATAATCGGCAGGATAATGTAAGGGCCTTCATAACTAAAATAGGGTTTTTGGGCCCATTATACTATAAGTTTAATAAGGAACCCCCAAAATAGTATAATAAGGAACGCCCTAAAAAATAGTAGAATAAGGAACCCACTAAAACAAAACAGTATAATAAGGAGCCCCCAAAATAGTATAATAAGGAACTCCCAAAATAGTATAGGTAATTGTCCCTTTTTACACAGGCTTGATTGGAGCTCGCCCGGCCAATGTCCCTCGTAGCACATCGCACTCGTGGCGAGATGCCCAAGGCTAAGTACGCACAATCCTCAGGTAATTGTCCCTAAAGCCTAAACCCTCAACCCTAAACCCTACACCCTCAACCCTAAACCCTAAACCCTAAACCCTAAATCCTCAACCCTAAACCCTAAACCGACTATTCAGGCCCCTACAGTCGGCGTCATCCCCCTTTACCAGGCCTGGTCTGCACGCCCCTCGCGGACTGCCGCACTGATCGCGTCGACCTCACTGGAGACCTGGTGTGGTAGCTCCTTGGTGGTTTAGGGTTTAGTAGGGTTTAGGGTTTAAGGGCTTATGATTAAAGGGTGTTTAGGGTTAAGGGTTTAGGGCTTAGGCGGTGGATCCAGCTTGTTAGTTTTGGAGACCGGACTGGGAGGGATTTAGGTCTACCGTCCCGACGTTTGTCTCTCTTGCGCGGGATCACTTGAGGGCTCGTGGCTTGCTCCCAAACTCAAGATCTATGGCAATCGATAGGGCATCTGGTCTCACTGCTTGTGGTTCGACGTATTTGATGTGCACTGTGCTGGTTACAGGGCAACAAACCCGAGACCGCAAAATCCGCCACCCTAAGTAAAACCGACTAGTTACCCCCAGCTCGAATGTAGGGGCTTTAATAATTAAGATAGAGTTCTGGGGGCCATTATATTATAACTTTAATGAGGAACCACGAAAGTAGTATTGCTAATCATTTAGGCCCCTATATTAGTTACCCCCAACTCTACTAGATGGACTCTCAAAGGGGCTCGACACCGGCTGTTGAGCTTTGCTCCGCCATGTCGCAAGCATCGAATTCTGTGGCGGCTTAAGGACGTCAGAAAGCACCACACTAAAAAATACCTATGTCAGTCAATCTCAGGATAGTACGCAAAAGCAAAAGCCCTTAACACACTACTAACCCTTTTTGAGCACGGGCTTGAATTGTATGCCGGCAGGATGCTAACCCTAAACCCTAAACCGTCTTTAAATGTAGACAAGTGGCAGGATGCAGCGGTGGCATCGTGCAGAAGCCTGAGATTTCTTTCTTCCAACGCCCCAAAGCCCTGAATCGCACTACAACCTACAAAATCGAGCTGTATGTTTTTCCCACCGACAAAGTCGCACCGCAGGAAAATTGTCCGGAGGTTTTTTCCCACCCGCCCAGCTGTCGCCCGGAGGTTTAAGATTGAGGGTTTAAGATCAGGATAGGACTTTCAGGATATGAGCTTTGAAATTTAGAGCTGCTGTCTGACGAGTGGTACTTACACTTATAGGGTTTATGTAAGCAGGGGTAAAGCTTTATTCAGGTTGCGCTACCCACGGCACCACTCTGGCAAGGGTCGTGCACCCCCGAAGCCCTGAGCAATCAACGCGAACCCTCGAAGCAATCCTCGAAGGTTTGAGCTTCGAACAGCTGACCTCTCGCTTCCGAAGCCTCTGCCCAGAATCGTTCACCCTAAAGCCCTAAACTCCAAACTAAACCGTGATCGACCCCAAACGTAACCCTAAACCACGCAGCCCTGAACACTGATACGCCAAAACCCTAAACCCCATACCCCAAACCCCTAAACCCCAAACCCTAAACTCTGAAGCCCTAAACTCTGACAGACACCCTAAACCCTGAAGCGCTGAAAGCTTGAACGGAATCTGCTGGCCTTTCCGACGCATTGCAGCCAGAAGAGGATCGGTAGATACGCCCCGAACCACGATACAGGCCTGCACTACGGGGAAGGCTTTACGCGGGTTTCGACTCTCACTCTCGCACGCAGCAGGCAAGGATCCACATAATGCCGTCACGCCTACAGACGTAAGGAACCGCCAGCTACCGCCACTTTACGCGGGGTGTTTAGGCCCCTAAACCCCAAACCGTGAGGGCTTAGGGAAATCGGCCCTTTTAAGATTTAAGGTTTAGGATTCGGGGCCTTGTCTCAGGTGCCTGCCCGGCTTTAATCCACAAACCCCACCCAAACCAAGAAAAGAGGCTTCAACGCTATAACTGTAGGTGGATATTTTGATAGACCACAAATTTGTCGAGGCTCCACCTCAAGCTTCTCGCCGCTCTCTCTCTTAAACCCGAAACCGACATAAACTCTCGAACCCTGTGATTCGAGCGTGAATCCTCATGAGCCCTGACGCCAGCTGAAGCCCATGTCGAAAAATGCCACATTCAATCCTCAAACACACCAAAGCCGCAGGCGCCAAATCAACCCCAGAGAACCCCCAATCCCTAATATATGGGCCTTAAGAATTAGAATAGGATTTTCGGGCCCATGTTCCTATATTTATACTAAGGAACCCCCAAATAGTATAGGTAATTATTTAGGCTCCTGTAGTAACCCTAACGAAAGCGTCAACAACTGAAACCCAGACCTGCTTGAGGTTTCTTGAACTTACATGTGGACCCGGATTGAATCACCCAAACCCAAGTAGGGTTTAGGGTTTAGGGTTAGGGTTTAGGGTCTAAAGCCCCATGATAATACCTTTTTGATCGCAGAACCTTGCAGCACCCGTAAAAGAGCCCTTTAAAATGAACCCAGGCATTCCAATCCCCAAAACTCAAGACACTCATCCCAACCCCTATCCTATAAATTTGAGGAAGCCTTGAGGGAACAGTTTTAGGAGCAGTTTAAGAAATGCTTTCAGGAAAACTTTCAGGAAACCCTTCAAAGAACTCTTGGAGGGACTCATTGAGGAAATCTGGCCTCGCCAGGTGGGTGGTCGGCAGCCTGCCTCCCTCCACAGATTCCGCACACGGGCCGGGCATTGGAGGCTTCGGCCGTGATTGGGAGGGACACTTCCTGGAGTTCGTCATCCATGGCTGAAGGTTTACGCTCTCGCAACTCAGATTCCGCCAGACGACGTCTGTGTGTCCAAAAAACGCCTTCATGACTACTCTCTGAGTTCGGACTCACTCTTACACCACCCAAACAATACCCGAAAGTACAGCATAGTCAAACGGCCTGAACATCAACCCAATCCCAGTGATTGCCAGGTTCTTGGTCGGTACATTGACCGTCTTCCAACACCGAGCAAACTCCGCTGACACTGTCATCTAACCTACGTGGTTAACCGGGGACAGCACCAAACGTCGTCCCCAGGCCCAAGAAGCCCTAATTTACAAGTAACCGGCGGCCCGAGACAAAATCCCACAAGGGAGTTTTCTCACACTACAAGGGCCGTCTCAAAGGGCACTCTCTCAATACGCGACGGGCTCAAAGGCACGTGCAATGACCGCAAGGGCAGGCATTCCAGGACAAAGCGCCGGTACACTCATGACTTACCTTTGGTTAGTAGGGAATGGAGGAATGGGGTACAATGATAACTACTATTACTACCATTCTTCCATTCCCTACTAACCAAAGGTAAGATGACGGGCATCCGGAACTACTCGAGGCTTCAACTCAACTCGCAGGTCGATCACGAGCTTCTCAGAATTGCAGGCAGCCACGCGAATTTCCGGGCATCAGAGCATGTGTTTGCCCATTGCACGACGAGGAATACATCTGCGAGGGAGAGAATATACATGTAGAAATGACTTAATTTGGCTAAGACCTGCAGCCCTCACGGCCTGAAGATCTATTGACATATCGCCGGGCACTTGATATCTCTCCCTTGTAAGCAAGCTCACTCAGAGCTTGTCACCGCCAAGAACGCAGCGATCACGAGTAATCGTATAGCCGAGGAGGACATACTTAGCCCAGCCTGACTTGTAGCCTGTGTCATCCTTGCTTCCGAGACAAGTTCGTAGATGGCTGCACCAAATACCAATGAAACGTATACTGTGGGGTATCCCCAACTGAAGGTTTAGGGTGTAGGGCGTAAGCTTGCAGTGTTGGATTTCGGGTTTAAGGCTTTGGGGTAGAGGGTCTAGCGCGTAGGGCTTAGTCATTACTCGTCTTCTTTTCATTCCCATTACAACGGCTAATGTCGGAAGTACAGCCTCGCTCCTGCTAAAACGAAGATGACTTGTTATTCAGTCGCTTTGGTTTTGATCCATATAGTCTGAAGATGTCTGCAGCCTTACTGGGGCTATATCCCTTGAGTGGACTGATTCTGATATAGGGACCTGGATAATTAGACTGAGGTTTTGGGGTATACTGTACAAAAACCCTATAATGGTATTGCTATTTCTTCGAGGCCCCGAAAGAAAACTCAAGGTTTAAGGGTCTGCCGGCCCCCAAAAAAGCCTTTGGGGCTTGGGGGCCGAGGGTTCGTCTTCAGGCTTCGGGCTCGGAAGGTTAGGGCTTCTTTTGGGCAGCAGAACCACTGCTTGAGCTCCAGGGTTGGTTTTTTTGAGGGCCTTTTTCCGTCTGCTAGGTACCAGCTCGGGAATCTACCTAGGTAGAAGGCAGTTGAGCTCCGGGGTTTTGGGTTTAGGGTAGTGAGGGATTTGGGGTTTTCAGTTTAAGGTTCAGGGTTCGGCTTAGGGTGTAGGCTCTCAGTTGTTGGAAGCTCGACATGGGTGTGATGCAAACTACGGCTGACTCATCTTACTTTAGGGCCTTTGTGTCACTGAGACTGAGCTGCAGGAGCCTATTGTCGAAGAGCCTCGTTGTAGAGGACGAGTCTTGGAGACCTACTACGATGAGTATACACTGGCCTTAAGGGAGCTTCAGCGCAAACTACAGGAGCTGACTAATCCTGAGCCCCTGAAACTTGAGACCGTAAACCCCCAAAGTGCTCCGAGTCCGCATGCCCTTTAGATAATCAGAATCCTGAACCCTTTTAGGCCTGAACCTGAAGCGGTCGTTATGCGAACGACCTTTATTCCGATGTCACTGATTTGGCTTATTAGGAGTCCCCTAATATAGTACCTGAAAATTTTCCTAAATAGCTTATTATAAGGACCCCAAAATAAGGTACTGTACCCCCTTATTTTCGGAAACTCCCTTGTTGCTTTGAACATCACCTCTGCAGCATTGCCTCCCTCAGCCCAGCCGAGTCCTACTTATGGCTGGGGGCTCCTCGGCAGGGCCTAAGGCCAGGGAAAGTACATCGCTCCTAAACAGCCAATATTAAGGTTTCTTTTAACATCCTTGTACCCTCTTGCTTCAGGGTTTAGGGAACGTTTGTTTTTCCGAAGTTGCGAGTTTCAAAACTCAACTATTCGCCAGGCTTCAGTGTCGCTGTCCCAACTCTGCATCGCAGGTAGGATGAGGTTCATACCAGGCCTGCACCAAAGGATCGTGGCTTCAGGGTTTCTGTAGTTGTCGTTTCTTTCTCATATGCGGCACCCGGTGCCGCCGAAAAGCCCTGTTGCGTGGTGAAGTGGACAATCGGAGCAGCATCGTCCTTTGAGGGCGATGCTGCTGCACATGAGTTGAAGCCATTACACCGTCATGGAGTCCGAAACGACCGGATGAATTGCGACTGCTAGTCACGGTGCCTCACAGCTACGAAACAAGATGCCCCAAACCCGTGAGGAAACCTCCTTACATTTTGGAAGGCTTTAAATGGCCGCGAAAGACACTCCAAGCTGTAGTTCTTACTTCGGGGGTATTGGGCTCTTGGGGAACGGCTATGGAAGTCTCCAGGAGCTTGGAAGCCACGCCTCAGGCGATACAGACGGAGTCTCGGCGCGCCATGCAGCAGCACTGCCACGTCGCCTTAGCCTAGGGTTCAGGGTTTAGGATTTAAAGTTTAAGGTTTAAGGCTTAACTAAACCCCAAACACCTCTGTTGTACTGTAGGGGCCTTTTGCTCAGCAAAGTAACGGTTTGGCGGCACCCCTTTGTTGTCCTGGACGCGGGTTATGCACGGTTTATAAGGAGATACCATTGCCCCCCACCTATCTGAAGAGCGCCGAATATCCCAGCCTTTTCCGACCTCCAAAAAACTTTGACCCAAAAGGCCTTAAACCCTAAACATTGAAAACACTGAACCCTAAGCCCGTTTTGCAACAGGCTTTCCGCTTCGCCCAGCCCGTAACTCTAAACCCCAAACCCCGAAAACTCTGTTTCCTTAGGCTCTAAAAGCCATTCTAAGCCCCCATACCGTGAAAGAACATCTGAATCCGGATGCTCCCCCAGTCACGGCGCGGGTGGCCATTCGGAAGCCCCAGGGCTGGCATCAGCTCGTCGACCGGGATGATGTCCTCTTGACTGGGCTGTTCCTGGAGGCCCTCGTAACAAAAACCACCGTACCTTCTCAAGAATAGATCGCGCCCAAGCGTTCAAACTAAATTTCGGGAACCCCAAACCCTAAATCTAAACCCTAAACCCTAAATCCTAACCCTAAACCCAAAGCCTTGATTCGGCATAAGCTTTCCCATTTCGGGCTTCGGCCTCAGGGTCATAGGGAGCTGCTTCCCCAGGCCCGAAGAAGCTCGACCCGAGATCCGGGACTTGCTCTCTGCTAGTGCCCCGGGTACTTTAGGGGTTTAGGGCTTAGGGTTTTTAAAGTGCATAATAACATGATGGCATTCATTCGTTCATGGATAAAGTGGGGGTGAAATAGGGATTTAATGAGGGTTTATAGCGTTTCATGATGGCATATGGGGTGTAGAGGGCCTTTATGATTAGACGAGTGCCCCGAGTATCGTAGTCAGTAAGAAAAAGATGCATATATAAACATAATAAGGAGTTGAAGGAGATGCAAAAAAATACTGGCCGTTGAAGTCTGCACATTCTTGAATGGAATCAAAATCCCATCGGAAATGGTCTCCAGTCCTTCCCCTCTGTGGCGCGCAGAAGGCGTGCCGCACCCTGTCGCCCAAGGGCTTCGGATTTAGGTGTGAGAGAGGATTTGGGTTTGCGGTCCGACGGTTACGGATTTCTAGGGCTTCCATCTCTTGTGCTGTTGCATCAAGCTCAGCACCGACCGAACCGAATTCTTCAGACATGACCACTGAAAGGAGTATATCATAAATTATGCTGGACTCTGCATATCGGGATCCCTGAGGGGGCCTGGCGGGTAAGCCAAGAACCCACAGGAAAACTTTAGGCTTCCAAGCCTCTCAGGGTTGGAGCTTTAGAGCTTCGGGCGGCAGTGAAAACTTGTGCACGGCTCAAAGCCCTAACAAATCCTCAGGGAAATTTTCGACTAGGGAATTTTTCCACTCCTACACTCACCATACCATGTTAACCTGTCTTGCAGGATGCTACCAGGACCCTGACTGAGCAACGACTGTCCAGGTGCGAAGAGGTCATGGTTTTGGGAATTCCACCGCAGGCACCCTGATGTAGGGGCCTTATTAATTACAATAGAGTTTTGGGGTTTCCTCGGGGTTCCTTATTAAAAGTATAGTATAATATACCCTAAACCCTATTCTAATTATTAAGGCCCCTATATTAAACCCAGCGCGACCCGGGGCCTCTTGGGAGCACAGGTAGGCATTTGTCCCGTAGCACATCGCCGACACTCGGGAGACCAGGCCTCCGAGGGAGCCGGGTCTCCTTAAGGAACAGGGTTTGATGTAGGGACCTTAATAATTAGAATAGGGTTTCGGGGTCTATTATACTATAAGTTCATTATTAATATATTAAGGAAACCCCGAAATATTGGTAATTATTTAGGCCCCTGTATTTGGATTTCGTGGCGCGGATCGTGCGGGATGCCTATAGACCACTGATTCCTTCAGCCACACGACATTCGCCCGAAGCCACGGAGGCACTCAGGCACTCTTCCACAATCACATTCCAGTCGTCCCCAGAATTGACAAAAGGCTTCCTGCTTTGTTTGTTCCTGTGATTGCCACAGCTTTGGCTATTCATCATCACCGTCGTGATAACCATCACAAGTATCATCATGAGTTCCTAGGTGTGGGACCGCTCAAAATGTTATCGGGCTTGTGGCCTCACACTCGGACTCTGCCAGAT